AGAATTCTGAACTTCTTAGCTCTCACCCCCAAATATAATCTATTTCTACCACCATGCTTTTGCTTGAACCATTTCATTAGCTCAATAGTGAGTCAATATAATGCAACTGTTCTCTGATTTTCTGTATTGACAAAGTATTTCCCTCTTCCCGTCGTACTAAGCATTCGTTGCTGCCATGGCTCTTCCAGGCTTAATTCACATTTACAGTAGTTTATCTGGAGAGAATACATCTCTCAAGATTCAGTGAAATACTATTGCTCTTCTCTAGTATTTCTTGCAGTTTTGGCTTCATTGATGAGATCCCTCATCAGAAGGAGGCATGGCTCTCTGACATCCTCACAAAGTCGCACCCTTAATCCACAGATATTTGATAATTTTCCTTTTGACTCACTTCCTGAGCCTCTGGCCTTGGGGTCCAGAGGAAGGAATGCACTGAGTTTCAAAGCAGGGGCTGACCAGCAGTTACTTATTTCCATCCAGCATCATCAGCTTTTCAGTTCATGAAAATTCCTCCGAGATTCAAGATAAATTGTTCTTAATTTTTAGTGCTATTGTAAGTATTTATATTTCCTATATCTTCAGAGGCATTTCATTCAGAATTTTGGGGAACTGCATTAAACACAACTAACTAGATGCTATTTTAAAATGGAAATTTCATTTTTGTTGACATTTTAAAGGTTCGCTGTAAACAGATGCTCAGAAGAAAAATGTGGATTTTATGAAGTGAGTTTATAAAGCCAGAAAGTGGTCACTCTATTCCACATGTGAAACAAACATATGCCTCACTGTGACCATTCTTACCTCTTTTGTTTCTTGGACCATGAAGACTCTTTCCCGAGTCAGGCCTGCACCCAGGCTGCTTTCTCTGCATGGACCCCCAGCCTTGACCCCACATATATTTCCATCTGCATCCATCCTTGATCCTACTTTAATCTTCATGACTCAGCTTAAATGCCACCCCTCCACAGAGCCATTCCCTAACCTCTCAATATGTATCCACTGTTATACTCTTTTCTAATATCCCCAAATTTCCGTCAGGGCCCTTACCATAATCTGAAGCTAAATATCAGTGTGGTCATTTGTATAAAATATATTACCTACTTTAACCTCTACTCCAATTGCATAGAGTTAATGGTCTAAAACGCCAGAAGAGATGCACTTCATTCGACACTGTGGATCACAGTTTAGGGTATTTTCTTGCACATGGTAGGAGATAGGAAATACAAATGTGTCTTTAAATGAATTTTGAGTACACAGACATGATTAAGAATGAAAATAGCTTATGTAATTGACATAGATTTATATACTTTATATAAAGCTTCATATACTTTTTATAGTTCATATATTTTCACAAACATTCATTTTGAAATAATGATCACTCTATGAGGCAAATGATACCATAACACTTAAAATCTTTAAGTCCTGAATCAATTTCAACATTCTTTCAACCATTTCTCCAGAAAGAATTGCTGCTGACCAAGCAAGCCTTCCAAAAAAAAAAAGCTCAGGCAACTCTAAAACCATAGTTAGTTTATTATTGCTTAGAAATAATTTCAGGAAATCTGAAAAGACTTAGTTACTCAATGAACACATCTTAAATTGAACACATGTCAACCCCCCATGGCATTTCCTGATGGTGCCTCACTAGTGTGAGAATTTAAAAGTAAACACACTGAGGATGTTTAATCAGCCTGAATTACAAAGTACATTATTCCTGTAGTAGCTTTAGCTTTGATTCTGAAATGTGTAAAATGTTTTTAACAGATTGGAGTCCATTGGAAATGCTCTAGAATAGTTAAGTTTCCTTCTTAAAGTAATCTCATGGTCAAGGCTTTAAAAGTGAGAAGCCTTTTATACCATGAATAACTGCCCTTAATTTGTCTCATTTGCTGGTAATTATTTGGCTATTGGATTTTCTCAAAGAAGGGCTCATTTGGAGAAAACAGTGCCATCAAGGGCAAACAATCCCCTAACAAACTTGCTAATTCAGCCCAAATCTCAGGCATCGTGCCTTTATAAGCATGGAGGAGCAAGGACTACAGTCTGGAAACGACTTAGACTTCACTTGTTTTTCCTTTAAAAAACAAAAACAAAACAAACATCTCTAATCTAGATTATTTAAATCAACATGGTCGAGAGAGAGAGAAAAATGGTGCTGGGAAATGAGGCTCACAGGGTTAAAAGAACCTCCGCAGAGGGCTGCGGTCACTGAGCTGCGGCCACTGAGCTGCGGCCACTGAGCTGCGGCCTGCATCTCTTGAGCATGGTCACAGGACTTCAGCTCCTCTGTTCCGAGCTGCTTGTGCCTGTGTAAAAGGGATCGCGACAACCCCGGACATAGGTTTGTAGTGACGCTGAATGAGGTATTTCACAGAAAGCCCTTGGCGTAGTGCCTGGCATGACAAACAGTGGCTATTAAGATAACCCAAACCTATAAACGCAAACCAAGCCATGTCATCGCCCTTGATGCTTCTTTGCTTAATGAGTGATCCATGACCTCTTGGGAAAAAAAGCAACCGATGGAAATAAAAAAAAATGTTTTACAATGACCACAGAGTAATCATATAATTAAAATGTAGACATTTTAAGCACGAGTGAGTAAATGATTGGGCATGTGTGTTTGGGGGAGACAGGGTGTGCGCGAGCCAAAGCACGCCCAGGGTTTTCTTACGGGGAAATGAGCAGATCCTAGCCTGGCGGGTGCGCATTAACATCCCACCCAGTCAGCCCGCCTCCCTGCTCCGGGTGGTGCTGTGACGTTACTCACGCCTGCCCGGGAAGAAAGGGGGTCCTTGCCCTTCATTGTTCTCCATCTGGTTCCAATTGACGGAAAAAGAATAAAACGAAAAAAATACCGTTTGTAGGTTAGTGACATTTCACCTTTCACTTTTGGGGGAAGAAATCAACTGAATATGCACTTTTTTCCCCCTAGCACAGGATGTGTTCTTCTACTCATCTCTTCCATGTGGCCATTCCCAAGTCCCCAGGTGTGACACTATGCTAATCACAAGCCAACTTCTGGCAACAAAAAGGACAGGTTCTCTTCTCTGTCTCACTATGACTAAGGAACTCTTGAGGAGGGGACTCTAAACACTGTGCAGTTTCTAAGAAATCACCAAGCTGTCGATGCAGTAAATGCCTGTTTAATTCACAAACATCAGTAGTGTTACTGATATTAGTCTGGAGAAAGACAGAGCACACCAAATTATACACGTACATCTAATTTTCTCTGTAAAAAGAGTTTTTGGAAAGAAACATCTGCATCTTTACGGGGAACCCGGGGACTCTGAGGAGGGGGAGCACAGTCCACTATAAATCACTCTCGGTTCTACACTGGAATTTAGCAGCAAACATGTTAACATGGGAACATCAGGGTAATAAAGGAGCTTTATTGGTTGGAAGAAGAATCACAGTTCTTGTCATTACAGCCTTTTCTCTCGTCCCCCCACCCCAAGGGCCAAAAATTCAAGGAAATATTAATTTGTCAAAAATCTATTTCCTAGTGTCGATTGCTACACCCCGTTTCTGTTCTGGGAGGACAGGTGCAGAGCGGCCCCTTCCTGTCCTAGGACCATCTCACACGCAGACTTTACAACGCTCTGCAGGTGTCCTCAGTGAGGCCAGTAGGTCAGGGACACCAGTGGTCAGATGTCCAAGTAAACAAACAGACCAACACATATTTATCCCAAGATAACACCCTATGTTAGTACTATTGCCAAAAAAAAAAAAAAAATCCTGATTTTTTTTTTTTTTTAAAGTTTGAATAATGTACAAAAATATCAGGACAATTATAAATTAATATATATTAAAGCATCGAGAAACAGCAAAAGGATGGCCTAAAATGTTAAGTACAATGTACTTTGATATAATAAATATTTCTCATGGAAACTGAATACTGTAATAGGGCCGTTTAGAACTCATAGAAACAAAAAATTCATATTATTACTAATTTATTTATCAATAATCTATTGGTTCTTTATCATCTCCTTTATCATTTATATTACAAAAAATTAATACTGGAAAGCGGTAGATGAACACTTTTGTGTGCTTCCTCTCTAACATGCTGATGTTTAAAAAGAAGGTAACACTTTAGGACTCCCGTCCTCTCTTGCGAATGGAACCCAGGTCTTCAGGAGACTGTTTTGCACAAAATATTTCTCACCCACTTGTTCTGCGACCCTGGGTTCCACCCCTCGGCCTTGCATCCTCACTCCCACACGTGCTCGGTCTGTCCCCGTGAGCCGCAGCGACAGAGACGCGGGCGCGGGGTTCCTGCTCTGGGCCAGTTCACGTCCGCCCGGCGGCCCGCGGCTCCCGTGGGCATGTGCTTGTCTGTCCTCGGCATGTCACAGGGACAAACCCGAGCCACCGCGGGTCCCATCCTTGTCCTCATGCCTCCAGGTTACGTCCCTTTGCACTTCTCCAGCGTCGGGGAAGCTGTGGTCCACACATTTCTATTTTTTTCCAAATGCAGAAAAACGTCTTTATTCTCATAATAAAAATAAGTCTGTTCTGTATCTTACAATATATTTCAAATATTTCCGCTACGAAGCATTCGCGAGTCCAACGCGGCCGAGCGGGTGCCAGCGGGGGC